TATATAGTTGTTTGTTAAGTGCCATCGAGTCAGCTCCATCCCATAATGACTCTGAGGAGCAGCTGGTGAGCTAGAACCACCAACCTTGCAGTTCAAACCGACTTTGTAGTCCAGCGCATTAATCCACAGTGCCACACCAGGATTCCCATATATATGTTTTTCTCCAAATTGATATCCAAGTTTTCTAGCACCATTTGTTAAAGAGATGATCTCTTCCCCATTTAATGGGTTTTGATTCTTTGTCAAAGATCAACTGTTCATAAGTGGATGGATTGACTTCTGGATTCTCAATACTGTTCCATTGGTCAGTGTGTCTGCCATTTTACTAGTACCAGACTGTTTTGACTAGCATGGCTGTGCAGTCGGTTTTGAGAGCAGGGAGTGTGAGGCCTCCTACGTTCTTGTTCTTCGATAACACTTTAGTTTTTCAGGACCTCATTCATTTCCATATAAAGTTGGAGACTGGGTTTTCTTTATCGTTAAAGAATGTTGTTTAGATTTGGATTGGGAGTACATTATATCTGGAGACTGCATTGGGTTGTTGTTATTAGGTGCTGTCAGTAAGTTCTGACTCATAGCGACCTTATGCACAACAGAACAAAACACTGCCCGGTCCTGCGTGAACCTCATAATCATTGGTATATTATGCCTCCACCATACCAGTCCATCTTATTGGTCTTCCTCTTTTCCGCCAACCCTCCACTTTATAAAGCATGATATCCTTCTCCAAGGACTGGTTCCTCTTGATAATATGAAGTATGAGAGACGAAGTCTTTGTCATCCTGGCTTCTAAGGAGAATTCTGGCTGCAATTCTTCCAATTCAGATTTGTGTGTTCTTCTGGCAGTCCATGGTTCTTTTAATATTCTTCTCCAAGACCATAACTCAAATATATCAATCATTCTACGGTCTTACTTACTATTGTTCAACTTCCACATACATCTGAGGCTATTGAAAACACCATGACTTGAGTGAGGCGCATGGTAGTACTCCTCAAACTGATATCTTTGCTTTTGAAAACTGACATCTTTACTCTTGAACACTTTAAAGAGGTCTTGTGCAGCAGATTTTCCTAGTGCAACATGTCATTTGATTTCTTGACTGCTGTTTCCATGAGTGATAGTCCAAGAAAAAAGAAGTCTTTGACAACTTAAATCTTTTCTTCATTTATCATGATGTTATTTATTGCTCCAGTAGTGAGGAGTTTGGTTTTCTTTATATTGAAGTGCAACTCATTCTGAAGGATGTGGTCTTTGATCTTCATCAGTAAGTATTTGAAGTCCTCTTTGCTTTCAGCAAGCAAGGTTGTACCATCTGTATATTGCAAGTTGTTAATGAGTCCTCCTCTGTTCTTGATACCACATTCTTGTTCATATAATCCAACTTCTTAAATTATTTGCTCAGCATACAGATTAAGTATAGTGAAAGAATACAACCCTGATGCACACCTTTCCTGATTTAGAATCATGCAGTGTCCCTTTGTTCTGTTCTAACAGCTTCCTCTTGGTTTATTGCATTGGGTAGTGTTGACATTTGCCCAATGTTAAATCTTCTTATCCATGAGCATGGTATAGCCTTCCATTTCTGTAGGTCTCTTTTGGTTTCTTGTAGCACTATTTTGTAATTTTCTTAGTATAAATCTTTTGTTTCTCTGGTTAGATTTATTCCTAAGTAATTCATCTTTTGCATGGTTATTGTAAATGGTATTTTTTTCTTGCTTTTCTTTTCAAAGTTCTCCTTATAGTATAGAGTAACCCAAGTGATTTTTTTATGTTGATATTTTATACTGTCACTTTTCCAAATCTGTCTATAAATTCCAGTAGTTTTCTTGTAGAGTCTTTACAAGTAGAGATATTTTTTCTTCTAGTTTGCCAATTTGAATGCCTTATATTTCCCTTTCATGTCTTATTGCTCTGACTAAAACTTACAAACAATACTGAATAGGAATTGTGATTAAGAGGATTTTTGTCTGGTTCCCATTAACAAGGAGAATGTTTTCTGTTTCTTTCCATTGAGAAAAACATCAACCATTGGTTTAGGATATGTTCCCCTAAGTATGTTGAGACATTTCCCTTCTATATATATTTTGTTGAACAGTTTTATCAAGAATGGGTGTTGGATTTTGTCAAACTCCCTTTTGCACTGATTGATATGATTATGTGATTCTTTGTTTTATTCATGTGGTGGATAATGTTGATGATTTTTATGTTGAATCATCCTTTCATATGTGATATGAGCTCCACTTAGTCAGGATGTGCTGTTTTTTGGATATGTTGTTGGTTTCTATTGGCTAGGATCTTGTTGAGAAATTTTGTGTCTATGTTCATGAGAGATATTGATACATACTTTTTTTTTTTAGTGGTCTTTGCCTGGTTTTGGTATCAGTGTTATGCTTGCTTCATCATCACATGTGAGAGTCATTTTTTTTTTTTCTTCTGGAAATATAACTGTTGGTAGGCAATTTTTTTAATCCAGAGTTTTATATTTCTACTTAAGGGATTTATAACTGATTGCATAGTCTCTGCCACAAAATTAGAGCTTAGTCTTTGTAGGTAACTTTTGTTTTTCTTAAGCTGCATCTAGGTTTCTTTCTTTGTCTTTGGTTTGATTATGATTTTTTGCTGTTGTTAAGTGCTGTAGAGTTGATTCTGACCCATAGCAACCCTATACAGGGTTTCCGAGGAGCAGTTGGTGAGCTTGAACCACTGATCTTGCAGTTCAAACTGCTTTGCAGTCTGTGCATTAATCCACAGCACCACACCAGTCTTGGTAATTTTTTGGAGTGTGGGAATCTATCCTATCTGAAGTTTGTTGAGCTTCCTGAATGCATAGCTTTTGTCTTTTGTGGTATTAGGAAAGTTTTCTTCAATAGATCTTAGACAGTTTTCTCTGTGTTTTTTTGTCTCTTCATTTTCTGAAATTCTGACCACACATTATTCTTCCTAATGGTGTCTCTTCCTTTATTTTTTGTTCTTTTTTCTTTTTTTTTCTGATTGATTCTCTAAATAATTGGTTTTAGATTTGACTTTAGTCTAACTCTGTCTTCTACTCATTTAATTCTCCTCCTTTTTCTTTCAGTGTGTTATCTATTTCAGTATATTAGTCTTCTGGAGTTCTATTTGCTGTTTACGGACAATTTCTAAGTTTCCATTTATTTTGTCAATTTGTTCTTACAGCTTTTTAAAATTATTAAATTCTTCTAGTATCCGTTGTTTCTTCAAACTTTCTCTTAATCTGTTGGAGTTACTTAATATACTTAATAGTTTATTTGAATTCCTTATTAGGCAGTTCTAATAGCATTTCTCCTAGTATAAGATTACTTGGCTCAGTATTTTAGCCGCTTGTTTGAGTCATCTTGTCCTCTGTGTGTGTGTGTGATTTGAAGTTATCTGAGACAGTATGGGTGCTATTATATTGATTTGTGGAGTGTATGTTGGTTTCATTCATCCTGATATTTGTTTTTTTTTTTTTTTTTTAACATATCCAGACAATGGGCAGGTTGCTACTGTGTACTAATTTTGCAGCACTGGGATGCGTATCATCTGTCTCTGAGTGACTCTGGTAGCAGGTGTGAGTGTGTCTAGCCTCTCAGGTCATGCAGAACAGCTGAGGGCAGGCTGAGTGGCTGTTGGCTACTGTCTGTCATTGATTGAGTAGTGCTAGAGCAGGTGGTGGCATTTATCTAGTGAGTGGGACTATAGGTCTGGTGGGCATGGCTGGGTAGAGTTGTTGGCTCCCAACTGCTAGGAAGAAATAGGGAAAAAATGGCAGGGGCAGGAGGAAGAGGAAAGAATAACCAAAGGGGGAGGGAGCAGGAAGATCTAAGAATAATGGAAAAAAGAAAACTGAGAACAAAATTAAGGAAACGAAACAAAAGCCCCGAAGTGGCACTGTTTTGGTATAAGTGTCAGCTGCCAAGCACAGCTTTGATGGGAGTATGGCACTTGCACTGTGGAAGCATGCATCACCAAACATAGAGTGTCAAGGTGGGCACTACCAAATCTGGAGTTGGCAGGGAATGGGGCATCTGATTTGTGATATCGAACAGAAAGGTAGGGTTGGGGGCAAAGATGAAGAAAAAAAGAAAAGAAAACAACAAGGGGGAACAAGGGAAGAATTTCAGAATAAAGAAACAAGGAGAAAAAAGACAAAGAGAGAATAAATAAATGAAAGTGTCACAGTGTTGGCAATACGCATCAGAAGGCAAACATGGCTGGAGTGGAAGCTTGGAGCTTACGCCATGGGAGTGTGCACTGCCATCCTCGGTGCCTGCTAAACATGGCGGCAGGGTGGATGGCTACCTAATGTGTGGGATCCAAAACAGAAAAAAAATGAAGAGGAAGAAAAATTAGAGGGAAGAAGAAAGAACTAGGAAAAAGGGGGAAAAAATAAAACGAGGAAGAAGGAAGACAGAGAGAGAGAGCAAATGCAGCCCAGTAATGGTGAAAGCGGCAGTCATCACATTTGTCTGTGTTGGGAACACAGCGATGGCAAGAGCTTGTGCACTGTTGATTGGGGAGGGGATTAAAGAGGTACTACTAGTTAAAGAGGAGGTGGGGGCAGGGTGTCTGCTCCTCAGCATCAAAAAACCCACCCCAAAACAGCAACAAAACCCAACAACCAAAACAAAGAGTGAGGGAAAAGGAAGGGGAAAAAGCAAAATTGTGTGCGGGTACAAAAGAAGATAACAGTAAGAAGGAAAAGGGAAATGAAAAAAGGAGCACAGTCCTGGCAGTGTGGGGGTAGGGGTTTGACTGACTTCTGGTCAGGTGTTTGTGCCTCTGAATACTGGCAGGTTGTACACAGTAGGGAGGTCACACTTCTCTGATAGCTTACCACCAGTGCGGATACTGGTGCAGTCCTGGGAAAGAGGGCTCAGTTATCTTGTTTCTGCTCTGATAGAAACACTGCTTGTAATCATTCCAAATGGCCTCACTGAGCTGCCTGGCAGTTTAACACTCCTCAGGACTCCCTATTTTCTGTTTTTGTTCAGTTTCTTTGTCTCATCAGTATTTAATTTACTTCATCCTTCTGTCTGAAGTTATAGGTTCCAGGATTGCCATCCGAATCTGCTTCATTTGGTTTCTTAAGTCTTTGTTGTAGAGGGTCTGGATAGTGTTTCTACCCAGCCTGCCATTTTGGATTCCTGTCCCTTGTGTAATCTTAATAGAAATGTCCTAGGTGGCCCAAATGGTTTGTGCTCAACTGCTAACATAATGTTGGTGGTTTGAACCCAACTAGCAGTATTTCAGAAGAAAAGACCTAGCAATCTTCTGTTGATTCCAGCAAAAACAAAACAAAACAAAACACTTAAAGCAGTTCTACTCTGTAACAGTGAATAAGGAAGACCGTAGAAGAATTGATGTCTTTGAGTTATGGTGTTGGAGGAGAATATTGAAAGTGCCATGGACTGCCAAAAGAACCAAGAGATCCATTTTGGAAGAAGTGCAGCCAGAGTGCTCCTTAGAGGTCAGGATGGCCAAACTTCGTCTCTCATACTTTCGACATATTGTCAGGAGGGAGGAGGATATCATGTTTGGTAACGTGGAGGGTCAGAGAAAAAGAAGACCCCCAACAAGATGGAATGGCCAAGTGGTAGCATTGATAGACTCAAGTGTGGCAGCAGCAGTGAGGTTGGCCTAGGATTGGGCAGTGTTTCGTTCTGCTGTGCATAAGGTCGCTATGGGTTGGTACCAACTCGATGGCACCTAATGACAACAACAACTCTGTAACATATGAATAGCCATGACCCAGAATTAGCTTGATAGCAACTGGCAACAACACCAATCTTAATGGAAGCAGATCACTATACTTTTCTTCCTTGGCACCCTTGGTTTAAATCATCAAACTTTAGGTTAGCTTGTTAAGTGCTGTAGAGTCAGTTCCGACTCATAGTGAACCTGTATAGGCTTTCCAAGGAGCATCTGGGGGGTTTGAACTGCTGACCTTGTGGTTCATGGTCTAGTGCTGATCCTACAGCTCCACACCAGAATTTAGCAGTCAAGTAAAACTTATTTTCTATACTTAGGGACCTTCAGGAATTTTGATTACTAATAACTAACAAAAACAGGATAAGGGTGACAGAAAATTGAAAAGCATTCTGAAAAGAATAGCACTTGGGCTAGAGTGCTTTGTTTTCATATACATTTAAGTAATTTACTGAGATTTTCTTGACATTGGCCCAACATATAAATCAAAGGATTTTACACATACTTAATCCATGATCCTGTTCATCTTGGTCGCCTTGTTTTTTCTTCCTGCAGTGACCACTAAGACGCTTATAGATTATGTAGACGTGGCTCAAAAGGATCATTGGTGGTGGTAAAACTGGCCGGCCATGAAACGTCATAATCAGCTGATACCTCTGGAATTTCCACACTTGATTGGATATTGACTTTACTTCAAAGAATGTATTGCTTTAAAAAGAAGACATTTTTACAGTTATGTCTATTACTTTGAACTGTGATTTTCCAGAAAATCAGTGATTCTCACTGAAATAAAAATATAACGATGCCTTTCAGCGGAAGTTAGGGTTGACTTCTGGATTACCCATTCTCTTTGTTTATCTCTCGATGTGGATTATCTACGCTCAAGGATGTAAATTAAGAATTAAGTGTATTTGAAATTTCTATAGACTGCTTTCTTGAAAAACTACACCACAGTGTACTGATTCATGTGCACAGGACATTTTATTTCATATGTTGCCATTGTCATGTGCCATGGAGTCATTTCCGACTCATAGCGACCCTGTAGAGGGCTTCCGAGGCTGCAAATCTTTACGGGAGCAGAAACCCTCATATACTCATGAGTTATATAGGCAATATATGAAAGGTCTCTTCTTCTAAGCTTTTTTTGTGTATTTAAACTTGCAAGTCAATCAAATACCCAGTTGACTGCTTTTTATTTTTATTTATTTAACTTTTGGTCACTGAATTGAGTACTTTTTAAACTGATTTGATCAAAGTTGTATTATTTTGAGCTTTGGATGGAGATTAGCTTTGCCTTATTAGAGTTTCTAACAGGAGGGAGTAAGTACAAGATTGTTAGAAGTTGGAAACTCTGAACAAACTTTGTTATCTACGGATACTAACCCAAAACCAAATTCAGCATTGTTGAGTCAAATCGAACTCAGAGACTCTGTAAAACAGAGTAGAACGGTCCTGAAGGGATTCCAAGGCTGGTATCTTCACAGAACGGATTGCCTCACCTTTCTCCTGGGGAATGGCTACTGGATTGGAACTGTTGAGCGCTTTAAGCACTGTGACACCAGAGCACCTTCTACTGACAATGTGAGACTTTAAAAAAGCCAGTTAGCCGGTGCTGCTTTAGCGTTCTCTTTCTCTCAAGCCAGGAGTTCGTACCCAACTCTCTTCAATCTACTGTCCAGCTCAAAGAGTTTATATTTTTATCAAGGATGTTTCTTTATGTTTTTCATCTTAGAAACAAAAACATTTTTTTTTCAACATTTACTAAGAATGTTCATATTTACACATCATACAAATGACCAAGTTTCACAAGACACTTGATTCAATAGCTTAAGCTATTTGTTTCCTAGGCATTTCTCCCTCTACCGTATAAATCATAAAATTTTGTTTACATTGTTGTTGTTGTTATGTGCCATCGAGTCGGTTCCGACCCATAGCGACCCTGTATAGGGTTTCCGAGGGTGTAATTCTTTACGGGAGTAGAAAGCCTCATCTTTCTCCCGCGGAGCACCTGGTAGTTTCGAACCGCTGACCTTAAGGTTCGCAGCCCGATTCGTAACCACTACGCTACCAGAGCTCCTTACATAATATCACAATAATTATAACAGCTAATGAAATTGATATTGCTTTCTTTATGAATTGATATTGTGTTGCCGTGCCTCTGATAATAAATTAAAAGCACAACTACCTCGCAGAGACTTTCATCTAAGAAAATACTTTCAGGAGATTAAAATGCATGCTGAAGTATTAAAATACTAGCCAAAGATGGAATTTAAATTTATTTAAGTACCAGCTCATGGTTTATGAATACATTAAAGCCGATTGATATGTGGCTGAACAAAAAAGTTTGCAAAGATTCTGTCCATTTAAAAAGCCCTGCCAAGATGTTGTGGAAATAAATGACAACTTGAGATTAACCTGTAAAACTGTCAAACGATAACAATGACATATGGTCGTCAGCCCCTGCACGTACTTGAAGACAGCGATGAGCAGGTTCACCAGCAGGATGTTGGCCACTAGCAGGTAGCACGCCATGATGGCTGGTGTGAGCCAGGCACCTGGGATACAGGGTGGGAGCTTCTTGCCATCCTCATCATAAAGGTTTTTACCACAAGGCGCTGGAATGAAACAAAGCTTGTGTTTCTGTGGTTGCTTTGTAGATACGAATGTAATGAAAGGAATATGTAACTGCTACATCTGTGATTCAACTGCCTATTTATTTTCTGATAGGATTTTCCTCCCATATCCCAAACCATAATTATCTGTGTGGAAATACCAACTCACACAAAAGAAGCGTAGAAAGGCATTACTGCACTCAACGATGTAGTTGGAGGTTTTTAGTTTGGGAAAACTGTTGTCCGTTTATTATCTTAGAGTTGATTGTTCTAAGGAGCACATTTCTTTTGGGGATTGTTTATTTTATAGGTCAAATCTATTATTTGACTGAAAGGTGACCTCTGGAAGTAGTTCAGTTCCAGGTTAAAAGGGTGTCCTAGGGTAAAAGTCTTGGAGGTCCCTCCAGTCTCTATCCATCCAGTAAGTCTGGTCTTTTTATTTATGAATTTGAGTTTTGTTGGACATTTTTCTCCCATTCTAACCAGGACCTTTTGTTGTGTCCATGGACAGAGTGGACAGAGTGGTAGCCTGACATCCTCTCATTCTTCTAGACTCAGGCTAGAGGAAGTTCATGTGGGTTTGTGTGAGCCATTAGTCTTGTAAACGAATTACTTCCTCTAAGACTTTAGTTCCCTTCATTCTTCTTTGTTCCAGACAGGAAGAGACCAATAGTTGTATCGTAGGTGGCTGCTTGCAAGTTTTGAAGGCTCCAGACACTGTTCTTCATCAAACTAGGCTGTAGAACATCACCTTTATGCATTGTTGCTAAGTGTTGTTGAGTCAGTTCTGACTCATAGCGAACCCATATAGGGTTTCTGAGGAGTAGCTGGTGGGTTTGAACTGCTGACCTTGTGGTTAAAACCAACCTAGTAGTCCAGTGCATTATCCTGTAGCATCACACCAGGGCTCTTTCTCTCTCTCTATTCACACACAACATACACTAATGCCCACAACTATACCGTATATTGCTGTTGTTGGTAAGTGCCCCCAAGTCGCTTCCAACACATAGCAACCCTACATTGGCGCCACATTAGGATACTATATATACACGGCCATATATGTTGTATGTTGTTGTTGTTGTTAAGTTCTGTTGAGTCGGTTCCAACCCATAGCGACCCTTTATAGGGTTTCCTAGGAGCAGCTGGTGAGCTTGAACTGCTGACCTTGCAGTTCAAACAACTTTGCAGTCTGGCACATTAACACACAGCACCACACCTGTATAATATGTGTATCTACCTGTGTATACACTCACAAATTTTTGGTTGTTTTTACTATTGTTGCAGACTATAAAGCCTCATGTTTCTCCCACAGAAATGCTGGTAGTTTCAAGCTGCTGACCTTGAGATTAGCAGCCCGATTTGTAACCACTACGCAACCAGAGCTCCTTAACTGTATTTGTTCTTATGTATCTTTCAGTGACTTCATTAACCATGGTCACATTGTGCTGACTCCTCTGTATTTCAAATTGCCTGTCCCTTCCCTAAATTAGCACATTATATATTACCAGATGTTCCTTGGAAACCCTATACAAGGTTGCTATGAGTCAGAACCGACTGGACAACACTTAACAACAACAACAACAACGATATAGTAAGTGATTCTCACCCCTCTCCTTCACTTCTTCCCCCAACCCTGGTCACCATCAAAGAATGTTGTTTCTGTGTGTAAACCTATTCCTAACTTTTTTACAAAAGTGGCTTCAATATAGTGTTTGTTCTTTTGTGATTGACTTACTTCACTCAACATATACTATTCTCCAGACTCCTCCATGCTATGTGTTCTAGTCTCGTCACTGTCCTTTATCACTGCATGTTGTTGTTGTTAAGTGCCGTGGAGTCGGTTCTGACTCATAGCAACCCTGTACTGGGTTTCTGAGGCTATAAATCTTTACAGGAGCAGAAAGCCTCATCTTTCTCCCATGGAACAGCTGGTAGTTTTGGACTGCTGACCGTGAGATTAGCAGCCCAATGTAACCGCTACGCTACCAGAGTGTTATACTGTGGACCACATTATGCTTATCCATGCATCTATTTATGGACACTTAAGTTGTTTCCATCATTCTGCCATTGTGATTAATGCTATAATGAATATGGGTGTGTATACATCTACTGGTGTCATCACTGGTGTGGTACTGTGGGATCAACACTGGACTGCTAATCACAAGGTTGGAGGTTCAAACCCACCAGCTGCTCCTGGGAAACCCTGTTCAGGGTTCCTATGAGTTGGAACCAACTCGACACTCAACACCAGCAACAACATACCTAGAAGTGGGAGTGTGGTGGCTCCATACGATAAGCACTGGACCGTGGACCACAATGCCGTGGTTCTACCAGCCAGCTGCTCTGTGGGAGAAAGATGAGGCTGTCTACTCCCGAGAAGATTTAATGCCTCAGAAACCCTATGCAGAGTTGCTATGACTCGGAACCAACTCCACAGCAATTAACAGCAACAACAGCATACCTAAGAGTGTGATTGCTGGGTCATATGGTATTTCTATTTTTAGCCTTTGGAAGAAGTTCCATACAGTTTTCGTTAGTGGTTGTACCATTTTATAATCCCACCTACAGTATATAAGAGTTCTAACCTCCCAACAACATTGTCAGCATTTGTTGTTGTTTTTTTGTTTGTTTGTTTGTTTTTATCAGTGCCATTTTTGCAGGGGTGAGATGGTATCTCATTGTAGTTTTGATTTGCATCTATTTAATGGACTCTTGTAGTGCTGGGGGTTAATTCACTGGACTGCAAAGTCAGTTTGAACTGCAAGTTCGATGGTTCAAGCTCACCAGCAGCTCCTGGGAAGCCCTGTACAGGGTGGCTGTGGGTCGGAACAGACTTGACGGCACTCAACAACAATGGGCTCCTGGTGTGGCTCTGGATAAACACAGGACTGCAAATCACAAGGTCAGCAGTTCAAACCCACCAGCTGCTCCTCAGAAATCTTTTCCAGGATCTCTATGAGTTGGAACCAGTTCAATGACACATAACAATAACAACAAAGGCCAAGCATCAGAAGCATTTCTTCATGTGCTCCTTAGCCATCTCCATGTCTTCTTTGGTAAAATGACTCTTTCTGTCCTTTGCTATCTATTTGATTGGTCTGTTTGTTGAGGTGTTAAGGTTTTTTATATAGTATAGTGATTTGTCAGATAAGCGGTTGGAAAATGTGCTCTGTCCTCCCCCCACCTGCTGTCTTTAGATTCTCTTTTTACTCTTTTGGTAAAGTCTGTTGATGAAACTAAGTGTTTAATTTTTAAGAGTTACCTAATTTATCATCTGCTGTTTGTGTAATTTTAGTTGTTTGCTGGTGAATTTATACCATAAATAGGAATCCTGAGTTTTACCCCTATATTATCTTTCTTCTGGGGACTTTATAGTTTTAGGTTTAACATTTAGGTCTTTGATTCATTTTGAATTCGTTTTTGTGTATGATGTCATTGTGTCTTTGATGTTCAGAAGTTCTTACTTTTTATGATGATAAATGTATCTTCCTGGCTTTTTCCTTTACTGTCGTTCATTTAGAACGTTATTGTGTCTTCTAATTATTCAACACAAGCTTGATTTCTTGGTTTTATTTGTACATTAACTTTGGAAATAATTCTATTATGTAGTCTGAAGTAGAGCTCAAACTATCCTGCATTTGTCAAATCAGTTCATCAGCTCATCTGATGGCATTTAAAAAAATCATTCCTTTCTCTGCTCATTTGGAATGTCACTCTTACCATGTAGGCTTAATTAATGTGGTCAAATAGGATCAGTTCCCATGGTGGTTAGTGAAGTAATCTTTATAAATTCATGCACTGCTTACTTTTATGTAAACTTTCAAAAACTATTGGAACCAGAAAAGAATGAAGGAATTAAAACTGGTATAAGACAATTAGTAATCAGTGACGGAAAATGCTAATTAATAAACATGTTTCATAGGCTAGACTCATCAATTTCTTGTCAACTTACGATTAATTTCCATGGCATAGACTGCATGGCAATTGGAAAGTAGGAATTGTTGTTGTTGTTGTTGTGACAGGAGGGGAAGAAAGAAAAAAAAAAGTTAAAAGAAAAGTAAAACAAATGATTTAACAACACAAGAACTGTGCTGTTATCAAGGATACAAAGATCTCAGACTTTGGAATTATAGACTCATGCTTAATCTATTTGGGAGAATTGTACACATCATTAATTTTAGAAAAAAAAACACCCCATTTTTTCATTAATATTTATTTTATTGTATGCCATAGGTGATGGCTCTGGGAGCGTAGTGGTTATGAATAGAGCTGCAAACCGCAAGGTCAGCAGTTTGAAACTACCAGCTGTTCTGCAGGAGAAAGATGAGGTTTCTGCTCCCATAAAGATTTACAGCCTCAGAAACCCTGTACAGGGTCGCTACGAGTTGGAACCGACTCCACGGCACATAACAACAACAACATAGGCGATGGCACAATCTGTTTTTTAAAATACTGTGAAAAAGATATGATACTACAGATAGATGGTCATTCTAACATACAATTTAACTCATTAAATAAGCATTACTTATATTCCAACACAAACACATCATAAGCACAAACAGATACAAAATTTCTATGTAATAATCAGTGGTTATGAATCGGGCTGTGAACCACAAGATCAGCAGTTCAAAATTACCATCTGTTTCACAGGAGAAAGATGAGGCTTTCTGCTCCTGTAAAGACTTACAGCCTTGGAAACCCTGTACAGAGTCACTGTGAGTCAGAACCGACTCCGTGGCACATAACCACCAACCACCACCAATCAGATCTAGTTGGAAAACCCACATTTAATGGTGTTACTAAATACAGTATTGCCTCAAGTTTATCTATTTCTCTATCTTCTGTTATTACTGAATTTAAGAATATAAGAAAACCAATTAAAACATTACAGTTTACGCTGGAGTTGGGGCTGTTCGCATGCATTTATGTGTGGCACTGTGGGATAAAGCATGGGACTGCACAATCTTTTTGAGCCACAAGGTCGGCAGTTCAATGTCACCAGCCACTTCTTAGAAACACTATACAGGGTCACTATGAATCAGAACTGACTCTATGGCACTTAACAAGAAGCATGTATTCATGGTATGGTGCTGTAAGATAAGCACTGGAATGCTAGCCACAGGTAAGTGGTTCAAACCTACCATCTGCTCCTTGGAAACCTGATTCACATAGCAATAACAACAGAGAATATATTCTTTAAAAATCAAATTAGATTTTTATGCTCGAGTTTACCAAATTACAAATTTAATAGTTGATTTTGTGGTACTTGCAATAATAATGTGTTCACATTGCATTTTAATAGTTGGAAAGAAGATATTGTGTGAGCTAGTTATCAGTCTAACCTAGTGAGACTCAATCTACTGACAACCTTGATTTCTATATGAAAGCAGGATGCTTGATGAAATCTTCTGTTCTCAAATAGCAGAACACATGCAGCAGTAGACACACTATTATACATAAACTTTATGAAAATGCATGAAGATGGGAATGAAAATGTAGGCACTGCCATGAAAACAGGGTTAAAGAGCCTCATTTACTGGTGGTGCATTACCTGTCCCTAGTGAAATCAGCACAGGAATACTGAACTGAACTTCCTTCCAACACAACATACCATAACCTGCTAGTTCACTCATCCTGAGGGCACTGGGGTCTACATTCTTAGGAAATCCGTGAAAGAATTACAGCTCATTTCCTCTTCTACCATCCAGATTATTGTTGATAATAAAATTAGCATTCCGGTAGTGAAGAAGTGAGCTTCGTAGCTTGAGGAGAAGGAGGATGTGAGGGCTCAGTTATCTTGTGTTGTTGAGTCAGTTCTGATCCATAGCACCCTGTATAGCATTTCCAAGGAATAGCTGGTGGGTTTGAACTACGGATGTTGCGGTTAGCAGTCCAGTGCTTATCTTATATGCCAGAGGTTCTAGTTATCTTGCAGGCAAACCATTTCATTCTGTAGGAATAACAGGGCTATCTCTTTCCTAGGATGCAGTGAGATTTGGAATGGAGAAAACTAGAATATTGGCACTGGAAATATACTGATTCAACAGGATACTTACCAGATGAGGAAACGGAGACTTAGAATTCTAGCTAATGGCTTTTAGAGTAGAAAAAAAATGACTGATGTTTCAAAATCTACATCTTATAATCTAGATTATTTCTTCATAAAATAATTTGATGTCTTGTGGCACGCTGAAAAATACTTTATTTACAAGTTAATACATACTCGTTGGCTAATTTGGTATTGGTCATCTGCCTCTTCAGAAGGAAGGAAAAGAATCTTACTATGAATTTTATTCTTACGGTCTATCTGATCTGCAAACACCTCTCCATAGATCATCCAGTAGGGCATGTAGAAGATGTTTCGGGCCAGTCTCCAAGAAGGCTCCTCATCTGGATGCAGAATGGCTTGACGGGCTACTCCAAAACTCATCAGCACAACCAACATGATGACCACAAAATAAAGCATGTCAATCATCTGAAAAGAGAAAACATGTGTCCCTTTTACTGTCTTGACTCATGGGTCAAAATTATACTGGTTCATTCTACTGCTCTCTCAAGTGCTTAACTAGGATGATCAGAGTGTCTTCCTTCTCTCCACCCCACTCATGGGCTACTTCATGCAATGAAAAGGCTTACTCTAGAATATTGCTATCTACAATGATGGCGCTGGTTCTAGTTCTTGCTTTTCCTTTATGGTTACTCATAAACTTCTAGTAACTACATGTGATAGTTAATGTTTTGTGTCAACTTAACTGAGCCAAGATTCCCAGTGGTTTGGTAGTTGATAGTTCACTCTATAATGACTGGCTATGAGCAGGCATAGTTAACTTTATAATGATTGGCTATGGGCAGACAATTAAAACAATGTTTCCTTGGAGGTGTGACCTGATTCCAATATAATGAACATGCAGGAAAAGCTCACTTTTTTTCTGCTGGACATCTAGGACTCTAGAGTTGTGAGCCATTTCCTTGATATGAACTTCTCTTTATATGTACACATATATAAGTTTCACTGGTTTTGCTTATCTAGAAAACACATCCAGAGATACTACAATTGCAAACTGAAAAAGGAAAGAACTTTGAAAGAAGATGAAGTAATAAGAAGAGATACCTAAAGTAGTTAAAAAAGATGATAATTCGAGGGTAGATACTGACACTTATTTATTCATTATGAAAATACTGAACAATGGTTATAATGAACAATGTCCTGGGTATTGGCCTGGTGAAGGTCCTAATTTTAGACATCTCTGCAGATGAGGATTTTTTTCTGGGAGAAGCTAAACCATCTTTACTAGTTCAAAGCTACTTCTTAACTTATAAAGAATTTTTCCTAA